ATAGGTCTGTGCAGCAAAGCATATTTTACAAACTTATCAATGTCCAGGACAAAGTTATTCAGAGGGCTCTTTTAACGCTACTCAGTTCCCACCGCAATGTTTATATTTAAAGGGCACAAGCTTTAATTGTTGTTTTACTTGTTCAAGTGTTGTTTCCAGATATAAATGTGTCCATACAGTGGTGCAATGAATTGCACAGTTACAACAGCTGTTACAGTAGACAAACTACCAGAAAGGTGGCGCTAATATTGTCAAGTATTTGTTCTTTTTCTGTTAATTTGCGGCTAAGAGCAGAATAATTCATGATGTACAGTCTTTATTCTGCTCCTGAGTGCCCATAAAAATAAGTTGTTGTTCAGTTCAAACACCATACTTCATTTACTGAGTAATATTAAAAGTTGTCACAATAAAACAAAGTGAGAAACTGTGTAAATCTTAATTGCTTTTATTTGCTTCTGGCAAGGTTCATTTCCTTCTGAAAAGATTTTCAAAAGTTTTTTGGGTTGACTATTGAAATAGCCTCCCACGCAGATGCTCCTAGGGCTTGTCACACATTCCTTCCCTACAAACATTTGTCGGGAAGGAATGCATGACGAGGCCTAAGAGTGTCGGCATGGGAGGCTACTATAGAAACAGCACCTTGAAATTCCTCTAAGCACATCTCCTCCTCCAATACACTGCATTTATCCAGATTCATTTATTTACCTGGTAACAATTCCAACGAAGAACCAGAACACTATGATTTGTTGGCTTGATAGTCTATATAATTATAATACGTTAAGAGACTAGGGAGAAAGAGCTATGCTATCATCGCAGTAAATTTTCCAATTTAAGCAATTGGAAAGAAGAAGCCTGAAAAAAATCAGGGCTTCAACAGGATTCAAACCTGTGACTTCCATGAATACCGGTGCGATACTCTACCAACTGAGCTATGAAGCCACACATTGGGAGCGAGGTCAATTAATTGAGTTCATATCTTACTGCGATAATTGAGTTCATATGTTACTGTGATGATCATTCTTCACTTTCATCTACAACCACAGTTCAAATAAGAATAATTTTGTATATACTTCACATCATTTCACTCCTCACAGGAAGATATGACCTCAATTAATTGACCTCGCTCCCAATGTGTGGCTTCACAGCTCAGCTGGCAGAGCATCGCACTGGTGTTCACAGAGGTCACAGGTTCGAATCCCATTGAAGCCCTGATTTTATTCAGGCTTCTTCTTTCCAATTGCTTAAATTGGAAAATTTACTGCGATGATCATTCTTCACTTTCACCTACAACCACAGTTCAAATATGAATTATTTCACATATACTTCACATCATTACGCAACATATTGCATAATCCCACAAAAATTGACCCAAGCATTTCACCAAACCGAATAAATTGAACAAACAAAACGGGGAATCTCCATACTTTGTAAATACAATATGTATATCATCACACACGAGCAGGTTTTCACTAGCGACGGAGTCGAAGTCGGAGTCGTAGTCGGAGTAGTAGAGAGCTTGCGACCAAGTGAAAATCGAAAGTCGAAGTCGTCAGAAGCGGAGTCATCAGCTCGACGGAATCAGAGTCGGAAGAATCAGAACGTTTCCATTTCTTCCGATTCCGTTTACGACTCTGTCGCTTATGATCCAGTGAAAACTACGTTGTCGGAGTCCGAAACAGAAGCGGAAGAACCAACCAATCACAAGGCCCGGTATCGAGCATTGTGATTGATTTATTCTTCAGCTTCTGCTTGCGACTCCGACAATGCAGTTTTCACTTGATCGTAAGCGAGGGAGTCATAATCGGAACGAATGTGCTTCCGACTCCGTCGGTTTGATTTTCACTAGATCGTATCGCTCTACTCTTCTGATTGCGACTCCGACTACGACTCCGTCGCTAGTGAAAACCAGCCTTTAGAATCTCAGCGCAAATTGGGTTTGCTGAGTGAGTACATACAGTCAACTAAGAAAACTGAGATGTTACAAATATATAAGCGAAACAAAGTAAGGAAGTTCAGTTCAGTGATGGTGTCAAATCCTTAAATACTTCAAAACTGATCATGACTTTCATAACATTTTCTCACTTTATGGACTACCTTAATGACCGGTTAGCCGAACAAAATCTACTAAAGTAAGAATGAAGAAACATAGAACAAATTAATTTCATTTGTTATATTTATTCCGTTTCCTCCCCTCCTAGACTGAAACAGCAAATGGATAAAAACAACAAACAAACGAAAAAAAAACAAACACACACACAGATAAATCACCGAGTGTATCTTATTTGTGCGGTTGCCTGGGTTGGATAAATAAAAGAATAAATACCAAAATCCAAAAACCTTAAAATCTCTCCAAAGCACAACTCTTAACTGAGCAGCCTTAAAATCTGCCAAATATTATCTCCTTCAAAATTGAAAAATGTGTAAAATTCTCTCTTTTAAATAAAGGTACAGCGCCATCTTAGCGATTACATGGAAGCAAGGTGTCAAAGAACTCTCCACTGAACTGAAATCAGGCATCTACTTTTTTTTAAACAGCCTTTGTTGGATTGTTCAGATAAGTTTCTAATCTCAGCAATCCAACATCTTATATGCTGTTTAACTATATAACAAATACCATGATTAGCTTTGCTAATTCATGCCTCAGGTTCAGTGGTCGGCTGTTCCGAAAACGCGGAGTGCGTCGTGGAAAGTACGAAAAAACAAATTAAAAACCAAAAATTAAAAAAACATAGAAATAAAAAAAATTAAAAGTAAATTAAAAGAATACTTAGATACATATATAAATTCAGAAATAGAAATGTAAGAAATAAAAATACTAATTGTTAGAAAATTCACACCGCCTGAAGTGGACTGTTCATATCGCGTATATTTCATTCAGTCCAAATGGTGTATTCAACTCACGATTTTCATAGTTAGCAGTTCACTCTTAGGAAAAAAAAGTAAAGAGCAGGCCAGTTTTGACCATGTCTAGAAAATGNAGGTTGACCAAAAAAGGATGAAATGCGCATAACTTATACATCTGACACTGGCAGTCTAAGCTTTTGACTTATATTATACAACAGTCGACCAATATACCACCGACAGTCGACTGATTTTCTGCCAACAATCAATGGTCAAAGTATCGGCCGAGTGTCGGGCGCTATATCGACCGAGATATCTGACGATAGTCGGTCAATATGTCAACTGACACTCGGCTGATATCTCGGACGATATATCAGCCAAGTGACGGTCGATATGTCGACCAACATACCGGTCAAATGTCAGTCGATATGTCGACCGATACATCAGTCAAGTGTCGGTCGATATGTCGACCAATACATTGGTCGAGGGGTGCACAAATTTCACATGATCCAACTTTCCTAGGTAAGTTATAACATTAGTACGACCTTTGTTTCCATTCAAAACTTTCCTTGGTAAGTTATAACATTAGCATGATCTTTGCTTCTATTCAAAACTTTCCTTGGTACATTAGAAAGACCCTTGTTTTCATTCAAAACTTTCCTTGGCAAGTTATAACATTACTAGGAAATTTGTTCCTATTTAAAACTTTCTATTGCTGGAAACAATGGAAATAACACTTTAGTTTTGTTTAGATTTTTTGGCAAATGCAAAAAGTAGTTAGTACATTTTGAAGAAGTACTAAAAGAAAAAATTGAAATAAACAATTCCTTCTCTGTGCTTGGTATTGAACCGTAGAACCGTAGCACCATAGAACCATAGAACCATAGTAGTTTACCGCACAATAAAAAGTGAGTCGTCCACATTTGGAGTCAGAGGAAGAGTTCAGTGCACATATTACTGATGGTTCTAAAAAAGTTCGTCTATTTCTGGTTAAATTTCACACTAAAGAGGGAGCAGGAAATAGTAGTTGAAAGTATGTTTATGAATGAAGACATACTTGTCGTGTTACCAACTGCATATGGGAAGAGTTAAATATTACAAACATACGTGATTGCAAGTGGGCAACAAAAAAACACAAAGGCGTTTGTCCATTTACCAACGTCGTCAAAGACCAGATTGCCAAAGCAAGATCACTTGGAATCAAGTGTGTGTCCTTATTGGACATAAACTTTGACAGTTCTTCTTTGGCAAAGCTTTATCAACAACGGTTATTGCACCTACATGTTATTGTGAAAAAGATTAAAATTTTCCGAGAAATCTGAGCCACCAAAGTTCATACTTCTGGTAAAAATTAATTGACATATTCTTTTCTGTGGTTTCCAGGGTGGAAATAAAAAATTTGCAGAGATCAGAACAGGCTCACTTTCTCGTATCGCGTATCGCGGCTCTGCCGCTCGATTTTGTGCTCGCGGCTATACCGCGCACGCTGGTGTTCCAGTGTGAACCTGCTCGCAGGCTAGGAGAGCCAAAGAGATGTAGAGTTCATTATCTAGAAACATGTGATGGTAGAACCATACAGTTCATTGTATAGAGATGTGTGATCGTAGAGCCGTAGAGTTCATTATGTAGATTGGAAATGATCATTAATAAACAAGTTCAGGTGTAGAGTTGAATAAAACGTCTATAACAGACTAAAACCCGCTGGTAACCATGGTAGCATGCCACAGTGTTATTTGTACACACAAGAGAAGAGGTACAAAGTGATCTGCGACAAAAGCATAGAGGTGTAGCACTCTACAAAAACTTCCACGCCTATTCGAGCTTCATAAAACAGGCGCCAGTTGTGGGAATTGGAGAAAATGACATCATTTTCTCAAAACTACCACACAGGTTGAAACTATAATAACAATTAGTACAACAATTCACATCAAGAATAACAAAACCTTCGGCTCTTACATTTGTGCCATTTTCTACACTACTCATTGTTATATTATAATTTCAGCCCATGTAGTATTTTTGACAAAATAACATCATTTTGCTTACTTGAAGTTCCTTTCCCAATACTCTAACAAAAATAATCCTCTGTCCTACGAACTTTGCCCTAATGAATGACAACATTTAAAAAAATAATATGTAGAAATCAAAATTTAGTCACTTACAGAACAGCCCTTTTCTAGATTCCTCTTCCATAGTTTTCTGCTGGATTTTGTTGTGGATGTAGAAACCAAACTTGCATGCGATTTTATCTTCGGGTTAAGTAAGAGCAGGTTCTGAAATAAAAATATATTAACAAGTTGAAATAAAAAAAAGAAGCAGCTAGTTACCTACCTAACCAAACAAAATAAGGGTAAAAAAAGAGTTCTTAGTATATTTTGTCAAAAGATTTCAGGATGCATTATTTTTAGCCCTTGCATGATGTCATCCATGAGCTTTAGCAGGCTGTCACTCACTCACTCATGCACTCCATGCTAATTAATTTATTCAATAAACCTGGATTAAAGTGGAACTATCATCAAATATTTACCCCTTGAATTTTTACGTAAATCGCATAGAATTCCACAAAAGATTAAAAACACCATTTACCATTTGCAAATATCTGTATTGGTTCCAGAGATAATTAAAAGGCTGTCTCTGTAAAAACCGACCACTGATTATACTTCAAAAATTTGATTTTTCTCATAAGCTAGGATTTCGAAGCCCTTACCTAGTCAATCACTAAAATGTTTAATTTGTCAGTAAACAATAGAACCCTATGCCTTGCCGATTTTCTTTAGTGTTCCAGCGAACAAACAAACCTGAACAGGGAACCCGAACGAACCCGATGTCTTGCCGATCTTTTTTTGCATTCCCTCATCATGTCACATGATCCAAGTCCAGTGTGATGTTGTTCTTCGACTTCTTAGGCATGCGTGGTGAGGTAAGAGGCTCTATTTACCATCATGATGTTTTTGTACTATTTTGAACAAGTAACCAGGCACAGCATTTGGGCAATGTTTTCATTATTTCAGCATAAGAGTATTTACACATTTTTTAGCATTGGGAACAGAATTTCAAAAGGAAAACAGTCGGCCAACCACTATGGTGTGTGAATCACAACTGCAATGGCCGATAGGTCTGTGCAGCAAAGCATATTTTACAAACTTATCAATGTCCAGGACAAAGTTATTCAGAGGGCTCTTTTAACGCTACTCAGTTCCCACCGCAATGTTTATATTTAAAGGGCACAAGCTTTAATTGTTGTTTTACTTGTTCAAGTGTTGTTTCCAGATATAAATGTGTCCATACAGTGGTGCAATGAATTGCACAGTTACAACAGCTGTTACAGTAGACAAACTACCAGAAAGGTGGCGCTAATATTGTCAAGTATTTGTTCTTTTTCTGTTAATTTGCGGCTAAGAGCAGAATAATTCATGATGTACAGTCTTTATTCTGCTCCTGAGTGCCCATAAAAATAAGTTGTTGTTCAGTTCAAACACCATACTTCATTTACTGAGTAATATTAAAAGTTGTCACAATAAAACAAAGTGAGAAACTGTGTAAATCTTAATTGCTTTTATTTGCTTCTGGCAAGGTTCATTTCCTTCTGAAAAGATTTTCAAAAGTTTTTTGGGTTGACTATTGAAATAGCCTCCCACGCAGATGCTCCTAGGGCTTGTCACACATTCCTTCCCTACAAACATTTGTCGGGAAGGAATGCATGACGAGGCCTAAGAGTGTCGGCATGGGAGGCTACTATAGAAACAGCACCTTGAAATTCCTCTAAGCACATCTCCTCCTCCAATACACTGCATTTATCCAGATTCATTTATTTACCTGGTAACAATTCCAACGAAGAACCAGAACACTATGATTTGTTGGCTTGATAGTCTATATAATTATAATACGTTAAGAGACTAGGGAGAAAGAGCTATGCTATCATCGCAGTAAATTTTCCAATTTAAGCAATTGGAAAGAAGAAGCCTGAAAAAAATCAGGGCTTCAACAGGATTCAAACCTGTGACTTCCATGAATACCGGTGCGATACTCTACCAACTGAGCTATGAAGCCACACATTGGGAGCGAGGTCAATTAATTGAGTTCATATCTTACTGCGATAATTGAGTTCATATGTTACTGTGATGATCATTCTTCACTTTCATCTACAACCACAGTTCAAATAAGAATAATTTTGTATATACTTCACATCATTTCACTCCTCACAGGAAGATATGACCTCAATTAATTGACCTCGCTCCCAATGTGTGGCTTCACAGCTCAGCTGGCAGAGCATCGCACTGGTGTTCACAGAGGTCACAGGTTCGAATCCCATTGAAGCCCTGATTTTATTCAGGCTTCTTCTTTCCAATTGCTTAAATTGGAAAATTTACTGCGATGATCATTCTTCACTTTCACCTACAACCACAGTTCAAATATGAATTATTTCATATATACTTCACATCAAAACATTGTTTATATAATTATCTCTATGTTGTCACTCTATCCAGCTATAAGTATTTCTATTACTCTTTCATTATGTTTAGCCCACTCATGCATCCTCTGGATGCCTATGTTTTGAAGTGAAGACAAAATTATTACTTTCAAAACTTGAATGAGACAAAGATTTTTGCTTTCGTATGGAGCAGACACTTGTTTTGAGCTTTTTACTGGCAATACAGAGCCAAAAATGCAAAGTATAACCTACAATTTGACATGAGGAAGATATGCATAAGGCCCTTCACTTAATGGCTTCATTGTGCAACAGACTGTAGAAGACATTTGACACTATTCTTCCATAGGAGAACTAGGAACTATGATAACATGTACAACAATATTCAAGTGCCTATCAAAATGATATATTCCATTTTAAAATTTATAAGCAGGCTGTATGAACAGCATGTAATTTAATTTTTGTATACTAATACCTAGTTACACGTATACTTGAGCTTTCAAAAAGGCTTTCAATAAGTCATTTCAAAAATTATCAACCATGGACAGTGAATGACCACAATGGTCGCAAAACAGACTTGCAGAGTTTTAGCTTTATTGCAAAGTTTTGTTTTTAAATAAAATTTGAATGCTTGGCACATGTATCCTCTGCACCAATTAATGTGCACAACATTAGGGACCTTACGATGCAAGGACAGGAGGCCCAGGACAGGAACGACAGTGGATGTGGGAAACTTTTGTGATTCCTGTCATTGTCTTGTCAAAGACAAAGCATTGCTTAAGATGTGTATTTTTCATATGGGATGGCAAGGTCAATAACTCGAGCTAAAAGCTTTTTAGAAAACTAATGACATCCTTTAGAGATGGTAGAAATTTTATCCTATTAAGCTTAAACGATGCTAAACAGACAACGCTGAATTTACTTTTCTTTGCATCTCTCAACTGTCAGTATTTGTCTCTCATCTGTCTAAGGAACAAAAGACATGGGGCCTACTGTGTATTGACTAGTGACAAAATTTGTCTTTTGCCTCCCTTAAACAGTCTACTTATTGCACCTGGCTGGCATTTTGAATTGGCCAATGAAAGTGCAGAATGTAATATGATCGCGATCATGCTTTGATGGTTCGCTCCAACTATTTAAGTAAATTTAGGCCTAAAGTTAATTTCCCTTATAAATCCTATAAAGCGTTCATTGCGTCATATTCAGCCACAACAGTGTCACATACTGAGCTTGGGCCACCTATGATCACACATTACTCACTCTTTAGAAGGTGAATAATCCTCATTAGCCAGGGATAGCGAACCGATCAGATTGCTTGAAACACCAAGATCACTGAGTGCGTATACACTAATCAGTATTAATCTAGCTCATACTTGCGTTCAATATTGACTTGAACAAATCAACTATCGAATATTAAGCTTATTCAAATAATTGCATCTTTTAGGTCGACTGGTTTGAGAGAATGGTATTAAATTGCTGCTAATCTCCCCTTGCTCGGACAGTAAAAGCATACTAAGTACTGTATATATGATTTTGAAAGAAAATATAAGGCAATTTCTGGTCTATGGTATTGTTTTCTGTGCTGTATGACCCGTCACTGCGAGCTATCGAACGCTTACGAATTGCTCACTATACAGGACAGTTTTTTCCATTTACGTTAATCGATGTGTACGAATTCTGTCGCAGCTGCTGTAAACACAATTTGCTATAACAAGGAGGCATGAAAACTCCACTGATAACTGCTTAATTACTTTATAATGTGCGTACTTCGCAAATTACACGGGCTGCCGGCCGCTCAGTGGCCTCTACAATGATGCGCGCTGTATACAGGCTATCTTTTTTAGATAGGGATTTCTCTCGAAATGATAACTTTTCGTCCAAAAAATATGCAAGGACTATATGAAACTTACCTCAATATCCGAGGAGTGCTTCGACAACGCCATCCTTATTAAACTTTGCAGTCCAATTGCGTTACTTTAGTGAACCCGCAACGTTATATCAATTGTGCAATTTAGTCCACGTGACACTCAGCTTGTTATGACTCCGCCCCACTGGTCTTTAGCGGAACCTCGATTTAACGAAGTGTCAAGCGCAAGCGATTTTGCGGAAAAACAACCAAAATGTTCGTTATATCGAGGTATTGTTTTTTATGGTGTTACGTGGCGCAACCCAGCATGACCGATCACTGCCAATAAAACAAGCGACTACACTGTACAGATAGATCTGTACGTAGCAACGGTATTAAAACAGGTCAACAAAATTCACAAGAAGCCTTCAAAAGTAAGTGTCGGTAGTGTCAGTGTCTGCATCTGTAATTAGAAACTTCCAGCCAACTTGGCAGGAAAAAGTCACTGTGATACTGTGGAGTCTATCAAATCAAAACAACACTATCCGATGCGGTGTTTGCCCGATGGCGGCGACGGGCAAAGCCTGTTAAGGGAGGAATCGAGAGAAGTGTAAACGATAATTGTAGGCTTTCTTGTTGTCCGCTCAAGATCAAATTCGGAGAATTTAAACATTTCCATGCAAAACCTTTTCAAGGTCTCTAAGCGTCAAGGATTTCAAAATGGCACTTTGTCAGAAATCTGAAATTGGTCTAGGAAAAGAAAGATCAGACACATCATCTGATTATTCTCTGTTTACACGCCATAGACCTGCGTTGTAATCAGTTTTGTTCCTTGGAGCTGTCCCTTGGGAGATAAGCGATAATTTCGATTGATGTGTTAGCTTTCTGAAACAATGGAAATGGCCCGCACCTCAGCGTACTGGACTAACAACCAGTCATTCATTCAGTCATCCTGGGCTCGATTACCAGCCGCTGTTAGAGGAAAGGAGCCCGCGCTCCTGCCCCGAACTTACGACTGGACTCGTGGACTTGGCATTGTTAATTTCAACCAATAAGAAATCTGCCTCCCTGAGTCGATCAGGCTGCATAAATTAGCTTTCTCGCAGTAGCAAAGAAGTTGGGCGATATGAAGTGCGATCGCATTAGTGGGACATTTAACCAAATACCGTTAGCCTGCAGAACAGGCGTAATTTTTTTGCGTATTTTAGGCGAACAGAGGCGAAAGCGAGGCGAGCGCGAAGAGCGCGAAAAAAAATAACGCCTGAATGCATACCATTGTCCAAGCTGTTCCGGCGTTCAAATATGAACGCCGCTACCCAATTGGTTATTTTACATCATGTGATCCTCAAATGTTTTTCAAATACAACGGAGGTGTCAAACTCTACGAAGCGACATGCAGATAACAGCGGAAACCATGCAGGCCTATGACCTGTAAAAATTTGCCAAAGCACGATCTAACGGTTCAACTCTACTTAAAATTCCCCCTTATTACACAACATGAACAACCCTTCATAAACACGAGTGAAGCGACAAAGTGACCAAACAGAGGACGGCAAACGTACAAATGTCACAAACCGTAGAAGTCGTGTAGGCTAGTCAACCCCATTTTACGCCAATTTTATTGTGGTAAATCAAATTTCAACCGTGCTAAATTAGTGCCCACTGAGTTCTTTTCTCAGGAGTTCTGTAATAGCTGCAAACAAATATATTTGAACGCAGCGAAGAAACTAAACAAACAAACCGCGGAGGTCGCCGTAAATTAATTATGCAGAAATCGAGCGTGCAAAATAGAATTTTTCCGCGGTTTGGAAATTAGCGGAAAAATATTCTCTCGTCGGTATGAACTCTCTAGG